ATATGTTTGTTTCACAGTACATATATATGTAGTATGTTTTACAGTACATATATGTAGCATATTTTACAGTACATATATATGTAGTATCTTTTGAAGTGCATATATAAGTATGATTACAGTACATATATCTTTAGTATATTTGTAGTACATATGTATATATTATTTTGATCAACAGCACATATATGTAGTATGATTGTGGTATATATCTATGTAGTATGTTCTACAGTACATATATATGTAGTATGTTTTACAGTACATATATATATTTATATATATATATATATATAGTATGTTGTACAGCGCATACATATGTAGTATGTTTTACAGTACATATCTATATAGTATGTTTTTATTCATATGGACTGGTATATGTTGTTTTTGCGTGAAGAGAGAGGTTCAGGGTTGCCTGCCTGCATGAGCATACTATCATTGAAGGTCGCATATTGTAGTCACATGTGATACTGACGTCCACACGGCCACACTTCTACGTCAGAGACAGCCATTATTTCGACAGATTCGCACTGTCTATTAATACGATATCCGTCACCACAATCTAAGGCTTTGCTCAATTGCGTGGAATCCGTGCGCTGGACTGCGACTTATTTAGCGCCTTTTCTTTTTTACCTTCGCCACAGATAGATATGTACGGATACTAGGGTCCCCTAGTCCTTAGTAACCGGACGGCCATCCTGAGTGCTGTGACGTCGCCATGGCAACAAGTACACTCCCTTCAGCCACCTCAATATAACTTGACATGGGCAGTAAGAGTGTGTCAGAACATCACCATCCCACCACCATCGCCATGCCCCTGCCCATGCCATGTGCGCTATTCTATTACTGTAGGCTCGCGTCGTGGTTTAGCTCACGCTCAGTACTTTGTACAGTAGCGTCCTGTGAAAGAATCAGCAATGGACTCGGAGCCCAAACAAACGAAATCCTCTGAAAAGCCCCCCATTGTCTTCTGGGCGTGTGTTCAGGTGAGCGTCTACGCAAAGAAACACAGCAGTGAACACGAGCCTTAGTGTTTTTGGGTCGTCCCTGGTTCTGGATAAGCTTTGTGCTGGTTCCTGGGTTTTAGGGTTAACTTCCCCCCCACCCACCCCCACC